CTCCAAAATCCTTCAACTCTTGAAGCTTACTCCAATTTCAAATATAATTCTCTTATGTTAATAATACATATGTATTTATAATTTTTTAGTTTGATCTTTTAATTATTTTGATCAAAAATTTAAAACACTCATCTTACAAACCATGGCATTTTCATTAACCATAGATTATTCGTTTAGCAACTAAATACCTTCATTACAACATAATTGAATGATCGACTGCTAGATTGATTCCACTTGTAGAAATGCTCAATTTAATTATAAGCATTCAAGATTTGGAGGTTTTTGACCTTTCTATTGATGTCTTAATTTTCTTGATTATACTTCAATTACTTGATTTAAGCTTATTTTTACTTGAATTGAATCACTTTTGGTGTGATTGGGCTTAATTTATTGAGATATTCAATTTGAATACAACATTCTTGAGATTGAAGTTTTAACGATTTTTGCATTTACGAGTTGGCTTGGGTCACCTACACCCCTACATGATACCACAAAATTCCAAATTTATTTACATATCTAATTTCTAAATTTTAATTTTTTATCTTTATAATATTCCATCTAAACTTGAATTGGTATATTCCAAATTCAAAAAAGTTAAAAATGTTAACAATATATTTATGTGATATGAAAGATGACTGTGTTTGGTCCTAATATGTCTGCGAACAGACCTAAGGAATAGTGCTTGAGATAAGAGAGCAAGAGAGACAAACAAAGAGAAATGTACAGTAATAAACAATAATGTGAAAGGAGTGTATAACTCTTTATTCATATAATGACCTTTTATTTATGGAGGAAGATGATATGTTATGCTGAATTACTTTTTTAAATTAAATTTAAATGAGGGTTGTATAAGTTATTACAAGTATTTTACATATGTGGGCCCAGGCCTGGTGGATCAAAAGCTTGGCTGGCTATATTGGTTAACCCTCTGAAATCCACTGCCTGTCAACTAAGCTAGAGAAGCTAGTCAATCTGTCTGGTCTGGTAAGACTGTTGGTCAGCTAAGCTTGATGTTGTAAATTGGTTGGGCTCTTACTGGAAAAGGATTGGTAAAGTTGATTTGGTTGACAAAGTGGTGTCTATTGGCAAATCAAGTATAAACGCCGACCCTCAATCCCTGACAAGGAACTCTTGTCGATTGCGTATAGCTAGGCTATCAGGCAAAAGACGAATCACCATAATTCGATAGTTAGCCGCCTGTAGACAAAGAGATCTTGGGGGAAGCTAAGTTTCACCTCATTGACTCTTGATGAAATTTGAGGAGGTTATTGAATACCATAGAGAGAACTGTAAGACCCGAGGGGGAGCTTTTTGATGCGGAACAATATAAGGTTATTTTTATAAATGAAGATCATATTTTGTATGGAGGAGAATTATGTAGTGTAATAAGATGTGGTTAAAAATGAAGAATAATTTATAAAAATCAAGTGAAGGCTAAAATACATTCAAACTCTCAAGAGAATGAGGCAAACATTCACTTAAAAGAGCTCAAATAAGAGCCCAAGAAAGTAACAAATTAAGAGCCCACTCAAGGCCAATCATAAGAGCCTTATCAAGAAGAAAATTTTGAATTTTTTTTTATTATTTATATTTTATTTTTGGTTTCTAGAATGTTTGAATTTTAAAATTTGGAGGCTTTTATGGCGGATCATAATAAAATTGATAAATTAGGAAGGTGTTTACCATCTTCCTTCATTAATAACCACTTACCACCCTTCAAAACTTCCTTCTCCTTTTATTGAATTTTTATCATTGTAATCCCTATAGATAGGGCTGATATGTAATGCTTTGCAACATTTGTTTATATGAAATATTTGAGAAGTTTCTCTTCTGTTGCTTGGTGCTTGTGGCTTCAAGTATTGTCTTTTCCTTGGTGAGATTAGGTATTTATCTTTGCTTTTCTTTTATGTTATTTATTAATCCTCCATAATACATCCTCTTAAACTCTTCACAACTTTTCATCCACATCCTAAGTTTCTTATAATATGAACAAAACAACAATCAAAGCCTGACAACCATTCCAAACTCCTCTTCATAGCTCTTGACCAAGCAAGAGCATATTAAGACCAAGTCTTATTCCTTAACCCTAAACACAATTGAACCCATCCAAACCCACCCATCTACTCCAGATCATAAGTAGACATCCTAAGCTAACAACCAATAATAATTTCTAGCCACTTACCCATTATTAAGCCAATTTTTCAAAGAGATGCTTCAAATCAACCCAAACTAGCCTAATCCAGACTAGTTTTGGTATTTTTGCCACAATTCCCTTCTAAATCTCTTAAAATTCTTCCAAAACCTCTACATCACATCTTTAGACTTAAAATCAAACATCAATAGCAAATTTTACTACTTTATCTCATCAAAAGGCCGCTTGCCTCCATCACTTTTCCCCTTGAATTCCTTATATCATGGGGATGTTGTGGATTCCTCTGTATTTAGCGATTGGTCAAACTGCTCATGTTTGGGCCGCATGATTTCCCTGATTAATTTTGGTCTTGATGCTTCCAATCGGCACGGACCCCCCAGTCTCCTATTGGTGGGCCCACTTGTGCCACATCATATCTTATTTGTGCCGTTTTATCTCCTCGACATTCATGCATGTTTTCTTTCGGTATGCAAATTGTTATAAATATAAAAATTAAAATTTTACAAAAACAAGAATACTATGGTATGCATGTAAACTTTATTTTACAAAATTTATAGAACCTAATGATAGCAAATGAAATACGAGTTTCTCATATTCCTTTTAACTTCATCTCATTAAACTTGAAAACAATTGCATTTGGGTTAAGGCTGCAACATTATTAATTTATCATGGTTATTGCTATCATTATTGCTTCATAAACTTAATTTCATATTTAAAATTAGAAGCTGATGTCTCATGCCCCAAAAATGGATTCATTCGGCCTTCTTCCAAAAAAATGTCAGGAGAAGAAGAAGAAGACAGCATGAAAATTTTCTAATGATTTCAATTATAAATAAATAATGTTACTTTTGACAGAGTGCAGAAAGAAAATGGAAGCTACATACTGCCTTTGTACTCTTAACTCTTTCCTTATATTCTATCACTATAGCAAATATGCATTAAACTTGAGAATTCTACATTCATTAAAATAATAATAAGAAGAAAAATCATTTGACTTTAGCTCCCCATCAATTTAATAAGTTAAAGTTGTTTGGGATTCCCCTGGCTAAGAATATGGTTGCCGACGACAACGAGAATCATAGATTGGATCTATATGAATTATTGCACTTTAAAATATTTGTTATGATGGAGAGAATTTTGTGATGTGAAGTGTCAAAATAGTCTCCGACTATTTGCACTAAGTTGTTTTAGTTCTAGGCTTTATAAAAGTGTCAAATTAATCTCACGCTCTTTGAATTGAGGCTGAAATAGTCCTCATGGAGGAGTATTAGAGCTCACTTTTAGCCTGAAACTAATTTGACAATTTTGGCACTTTACTCGAGTTATATGTATTAATTTTTTTTTAGATGATTTTTTTTTCCCAAATATTTCACAAATTGTTTTACATGAGGATTCCACGCACAAATATTCAAGTATAAAGGAGCCGGAATGACACCACATTTTTGAGTCCTCATTTTGAACCTTATATTATTTTAGTCTAATGAGTTATGCATATTTGATCATATGTGACATATATTAGATCATGTCATGGTAACTGATCTAATAATTATTTTTAATAATGTATTAGACCACATTCTTATGAATGTTTGCAATGAAAATTGATTAGAACTTGATCGATAATTTTTGTAACTCTATTCTTTTAATATATATAATTAAAATTAATTGCAAATCCCATCTTTAAAATGTATCTAAGTTCAAATCATTACCGTTGTTGTGGTCTGGTTCTATCTGTTTTATTACTTAGAAACAATGTTGGTTCGAATCAATTTTAAACTATTTAATTTCAATTTTCTATATAATTTAAATTATTTAATTTCAAGCCCAACACAAACAATAATATGTAAATCGAGTAAAGCATGGACACACTCTTCATAAGCAATTTCGAACAAAATCAATTTCAAACGAGCTAAACATAAATCAAGGTTGAGCTCACCCAAACTCAGCTCGTTTACAACCTTGAATACGATCACAAGCAAGCAACACATATATTTATTGTGGGCCCTAGTGCTTTTATGTCATAAATATTGAACTATACTCAACATAGCGATGCAAAGATGTCAATAAGAAGAGCACCCTAGAATTTCATAATAACATGATTTTGTTATTGCTTTTCTTTCTTTTTTAATACATTTTTGAGAATTTTAATCTAATTTGTTATTTGATGATTGTAGGCATCTATTTGCTACTAAAAAAAAAAAATATCAAGAAATTTTATTTTTTAGAATTTTGAAAAATATATATTTTTCATTCTTATGTTGATGAGAGAATTTTTTCTTTCATAAAATTTCACAATCAAATTGATTGTTCAAAAATGATTTTTTCTTTTTTTTGTAAATGTTGATAAATTTTTTTGCTACTCGTGAAATTTTTTTTATATAAAAGTATCGTGATAAACTTCATGAATAACACAGCAAATGAGAGGAGAAAATATTCCGTTCGAACAGTCAATCACCAGTGGACATGTCGCCATACATGTCATCAGCAACCGATCACCGGTGACCGCATCGCCATACACGTCATCGGCGGGCGACGTGACCGCTGGTGATTGACTATTCGGACATGAACAGTATTTGTCCTAATGAGGGGGGCAAATAAAGTTGCGGTTTTTTTTAGAGGTTGTGCATTGTGGTCATGTGTACATGTTGACACCAATATTCAAGTGAGGGGTCCGAGTAAAGAAAACTAGCTAATGAAACTTGTAACTATGATGATGGTAAAGCCCAAAAGTGACGGAATCCGTGCACAAGGTCTATGAAGAAGTTGGTACAGAATCTTCTCTTCAAGTAGGAGACCCAAATTCAATATACTCTCTTAACAATTAATTTTTAACTTAGCTGCCTGTAAAACTTTACACCTCTTGTTCCAGTAATCTCATCTCCATTCCTAAACTCTCTGTAACCCCATAAATCTCCTCTGTCAGTGGATGAGTATTATCATCTGAAGAGAACTTATGCATGTGTGAAGAATTCCCAGTTCTAACATCCACCCAACTAAAGCCCACCTCCTTCTTCACCCCTCTGTTCCTCATCCATCTCCGCACACTCGCTGCATTTTCCCACTCCCCTGCATCAGCATATATGTTCGACATGAGCACGTAAGCCCCCGACTCTAATGGCTCCATCTCCATTAAAGCGTCTGCCACTCTCTTTCCCATCTCCATATCTCCATGAAGCCTACATGCCCCCAGCAAGCTCTGCAATGCTGAAACACCAGGCCCGTTGGGTATCTTCCCCAGAAATTCTTCAGCCTCCATTAACTTCCCAGCTTTTCCCAGCATATCAACCATACAAGCATAATGCTCCGGCCATGGATCGAGCTTGAATTGATTCACCATCATATCAAAAACCTTCTGTCCCACACTAACTATACCCCTGCAGCAACAAGCTGTAAGAACTGCCAGGAAGGTTATATGATCAGGCTGAAGATTGGAGCTCAGCATTTCCCCAAACAGTTTCATGACAATCTCAAAACTTCCATGCTTGGCATGTGCTGAAATTATTGCAGTCCAGCTGATCAAGCTCCTGTTGACTGTTTCGCCAAAAGCCATCAAGGATTCGCCGATGCTGCCTCGCTTCGCATACATGTCAATGAGGGTGCCAGCCACATGCTCATTAGTGCTGAGGCCCAGCTTAAGGATCCGGCAATGGCATCTCTGACCATAAGTTAAGTAAATTGTTTGCGCAGAAGTAACTGCACTGATAACGCTGGCAAATGTATAATGGTTTGGCACACAGTACAGGATAGCTGAGGAGAACGCTCGTAGAGCTTCTTCACAAAGCCCGTTCTGGGCATAGCCGGATATCAAAGAATTCCAGCTCACTGTTTCCTTGTCCTCCATCTCTTCGAAGATCTTTCTTGCCGCTCCCATGGAGGATAACTTTGCGTACATTGTTATCAGGGTGTTTGAAACATATACATTGGTAAAAAATCTGGTTTTGAAGCAGACACCATGAATCATTTCACCCTCCTGAAGCACATGTTTGGGCGATACAGAATTGGCTAAAACAACTAAAGTTACATCATTAGGCTGCACGCCATCCAATCTCATGCTGTTAAACAGAGGAACAGCACTGCTTGGATCTATACAAATCATAGTAGTCCATGAAATGACATTCCTGTCTCTCATATCCAGAAAAATTTTGGTTGCAGAGTCAATGCTGTTGAACTTGTAGTACATAGACATGAGAAGATTTGAAACTGAAACATGGGTAACGAGGCCTACTTTTGCCGCAGAGCCATGAATTTGGAATCCAAGCTGTAAGTTTGAATCCTGGACGCAGGCTGAAATAGCGCTGGAGAGAGATATATGGTCAGGGATCATGGCTTCAACGCTGACCATTCTGACAAAAATCTGAATCGCCTCGGCGGCAAAATTGCCTTCTTGACTGAGCCCAGACAACAGGGCATTCCATGAAACCAAATCTTTCACAGGCATCTCGTCAAACACTAACCTGGCATCGAGAAAGCAGGCCAGCCTAGAATAAGCCGTGATTAGAGCATTGCCCACAAGTATATCGTAGCCAAACCCGGATTTGAATCCAAGGGAATGGAGCTGGTGGATAAAGTGGATATCTTGGAGAAATCCAGAGATTGACAGAGTGGTGGTGACTGCCACGGGGTCGAGAGGAACTCCGGCTCTCATTATTCTCTGCATGAATCGTAAAGCATCGTAGCCACAAACAAAGCCACAGAGAATGGTGTTCCAGGAAATGACATCTTTGTCAGGCATTTCATCGAATACCTTGAGGGCATTATCAAAGTATCCGGATTTTGAGTAGAAATTGATAAGGGAGTTGGAGACAGCTAGGAAGGAGTTGAGGCCGGAGGAGATGGAGAAGGAGTGGATTTGTGCGCCGGTGATGGCTTCGATGGATGGCTTGAGGGCCAGAGTGGCGGCGAGGGAGGGGGTCGAGGCTGCCGCCGGCGCGAAGCACCGCCTGGATGGGGAGGAGCGGGTGATAAATGGCCGGAGGGCTTGGAGAAGAAGTTGAAAGCAGTGTTGAGATTAGAAGGGTGGGAAGAGGAACTCGGCAGCGCCATGGGAGAGCTGGGTGATGGTGAGGGCGGAGAAGCATGGAATCAGGCCATCACACCTTATCCTTTCAAGCTTTTTCAAAAGGATAAGACAACTTTCTAAAATATAAATTTAAAGCATAATCAATCATTAAAAATTCTAATTATTTTTTATTATTCAATTATGCTTTAAATTCAAAACAATAATTGAATGACGTTTCTATAGTTCGTATAAGTATAATTTTCTTTTGGTGTATCATATTGACCTCAAGCATTCAAATTCACCATAATGAAGAACATTGAAAAAAAATTGAAGGCTTTGTCAGCATAAACTCCACATGATTTCAGCAAGAGTAGAGATTTTATTCTTCGAAAACGGCAAGTGAAAGCCTAATTAAGCATCAGAAATATCGACTAACAGTGTCCTTCAAATTACTGACACTCACAATACTACAATAAATCAACTTCAGCATGGACAGCAGAAACTTAGGAAAGAAATACATCAAAATTAATGAAGACGGCACAAAATATAACACAATTTACATTATTTTATCACTCAAATTTGACAATAATATGAGAATGCCGGTAGGATTTTTTTTTCAGGAAGCCAAACCTCTCTCATCACCGCATCGCACTTCTAAATCTTGATTGGCTCGTACTTTTCGCCCATGGCACCACCTTTCTGCTTCTGAAACTGAATGTAACGAATCGTGCTCGAAAAGAAAGCATCCGTCGAAGGATCTGAGGGCGAGCTGTCGCTTTGCATCTCCGTCATGATCAGTTCAATCAGACCCTGGATTGCAGAGCTTGTGATCTGAGGATTTCCTTTCTCGAAGAAGTGCAGATACCTGCCAAAAAAAGAAGCCCTTAATATTTTACGATTTAAGCCCTTAGGGGAGAAAGTTACTCAATTGAAAGAATAAATAGTTGTACTTGTTGAGTATTTCAACAAATAATGTGACGGGACCACTGCTACCCCTTGTAACATTGGCCATTTGCTGGGCAGCATTTGCGATTCTCAGTGCACGCTTTAAGCATAGAAGAACTCTGCAAGCATGAGAAGAGTTAGTTATAAGAAGAGTATAATTACACAGAGCAAACTCCACAGGAGCATAATTTAAAAAAAAAAAAACATAACACCCAATTCTTACATGTTTACATATCTCACACCTAAACTTTCATATTTACACAGAGCATTCAAGTTTTTAATATCACATAAAAAATAGTACTATTACATTTTTAAAAATCAAATACATCTTTTCATGCATAGGCTTTAAGCACCAAAGTGGTATATATGTAAATACAGAGGTTTAAGTGTGAATTTATTTTTAAAAATGATTAGTAAATTCATATATATAAGCCCATTATTGAGAAAGTAACATGACTTGCAAGACAGTTAATTTGCATAATAGGGTGTCAAATGAAAGGACGGGCAAAATGAAGTTATTAGGTGTAAGATGATCAGGAAATCAAGATCAATCTGTCGGCTTGGTGGAAAGCTTGTCCAAGCAGAGTCGAAGTAACAAGTGTTCAGAATAGAGGTGTAAACGAGTCCGAACTGAGCTCGAGTCATGCACAACTTGAGCTCAGCTTGTATGTCAAGCTTGTGCTCGAGTTGGGCTTGAATGAAGAGGTAGTGCTTAGCTCGCAATGATGACAGCTGACTCACAAGCCTGCTCACGAGCTAAAGCCAAAAATTAAATTATCATGGGGGCGCACTGGATAAGGCATCGATGGCTGGAGGATTGTCATGGTAGCTCGCCAGAGAAATCATCGACATGACTATCAATAAAAAAGTCGAGCTGACGAGCCAACCCTGGACAAGTTTCAGCTCGAGCTTGTTTAATAAACGAGCTTGAATTTGAGCTTGAGCTCCTTGCTCGATAAGTTCAACTTGCGAGCTCATTAATGAGTCGAGCCTCAGCCAGCTCGTGAGATGGCTTGTCTCACTTACAAGCCTAGTTTAGACGCATAAATCAAAGCATGTCATGCAAGAAAGTGCTTGCCAATTCTCACCTTTCTCCATCCTTGATTCCATCTTGACTTTCAACCCAGAAAAGATGCGAACAAGCATAAACTGCTCTACATTGATCAGGCTTTTTTAAAAGTTTTGCGGAATACTGTAAAAAAAGATCAAAATACATGTGAAAATGAAATTTAAAAGTTCATGACAACAATGAATAAAAACATATGAAAAAGTGTTTTAAGACGCACCCCTGTGGCCTTATGAGTTAGTGTGTCTCTATTCTCAACTCCAAATACAGTCATCCTCTGAAGGGTTCCGATAATTAAATGTATTGCCGTCACTTGGGCTTTTGAATCCTGCATAAACCAAATAAGAAAACAAAGAAGAACATCAGTAGCAGATACAATTAAATGTTTTACCAAACAAGCAAAACATAAAATTGATGATAAAAAAGAATAATTTGATATTTATATTCAAGTCACTTACTGCAACTTCTTCTTCATATAATATAAACGCTTGAGTAAGAAATTCATATGCAACAGGTTCAAGATCACAATCGTTGGCAGCCTACGAAACAGAATTAAATTATTAACAACTTCTGTTGCAGGCTGACAAAGAATAAAATTAATAGAAAATTTACATACCTCTGCGCATTGTAAGTACAACCTTAAGGAAAGTTCAGAAGAAGGAACAGATGATAACGCCTCAATAATCTGATATGTATTGAGTTACAAAAATAGGAGTGAATAGCATAGGGTCAAGAAATAATTTACGAAAAATATATTAAAAAATAGAAAGTATTCAATGATTCTTAAGGCTGGCCCAAAGGGCTAATGATGATGGTGATATCATGTGTTCAAGCAGAAAGTGTTGTTTTGGAAAATAAAATATACACAGTAGACGAAAAGATATTGCAATTAAATTGCATGATACAGCATGCAGCCTGAAAAATAGCACTGGTTATCCTCATAAATCTTGGTTACCTTCAACATTTTAGTTTATGAAAATATTAGTCTAGAGAAAGGATTTTGTTGATGAACATTAAGTTGTGCATCATAAGGTAAAATTACACAAAATGTTGATATCATAAAATTAAGGGTCTATAAACATCCAAATCAAATGAAATCTAATCAATTCATGCCTTTTAACTCATATAGAACATAATCACATATCCAGGTATAACTGCAATTTAAAAATCAAAACCACTGTCCAGCCACAGTTATCAACTAAAGGGGACTTCATTTCAGAACATGTCACAATTTAAAATGGGTACTTTATTTCATCACAGTATGACTAAAACAACTTGATAATTTCCACAATGTTGGAAAATAGTTCCTCTTTTTCCACTTTTCAAATTTCATGACAATGCACGACATCAATTGATAAGAGTTGAAAATTTTGAAATTCCAGGAAAATAAGCTAGCTGATTCAATCAACATAACCAGGTAATAGCGTATATACAAGCTAAGGATGTCTTCATTTATCTATGTTTCTCCTTGAAAATAATCTTAGCTATTGCACGTTCATCTGTTTCTTTTCATTTCTCAAATTTTTATTTATGCTGCTTTTCAATATTCATGACACAATATGCAAAACCTCTTTCTCCGCCAATGGATAATTAGAATTTGTTGAAAGAAAAAAATAACTAATTTTATTAACATAAAAATGTAGAAAAAAGCTGGGATGAGAATTGTTCATGCTTCCTTTTTAAGAGAAAATGCTAACAAATGTTCAATTTTCTCCACATTTAACCTATCCTTTGTTCTATGAAAGGTTGTAGCAACAACGACAAAATACAAACTTTAATTGAATATATAAGAAGATGAACTAAGAATAATAACCTGATTCAATATCTGAAATATTTTCTTAGGGGTTGCAGGAACATCTTCAGTGACCTCATCTCCTTCATGGACTTGCAAACGTCTCACTAGCTTTAAATCAAAAGCTTACAGCATTAACGCACAGACGAAAACAATTATAAAGTTATTCTACATTTAATTAAAAACTAATCTATAAACTATATACATACATAAATACATGTATATATATATATATATATATATACATATAGTATATGTATCTATGTATATCTGTATATGTATCTATGTATATGTATCTATGTATATCTGTATATGTATCTATGTATATGTATCTATGTATATCTGTATATGTATCTATGTATATGTATCTATGTATATCTGTATATGTATCTATGTATATGTATCTATGTATATCTGTATATGTATCTATGTATATGTATCTATGTATATCTGTATATGTATCTATGTATATGTATCTATGTATATCTGTATATGTATCTATGTATATGTATCTATGTATATCTGTATATGTATCTATGTATATGTATCTATGTATATCTGTATATGTATCTATGTATATGTATCTATGTATATCTGTATATGTATCTATGTATATGTATCTATGTATATCTGTATCTATGTATATATCTATCTATATGTATATGTATATATCTATATGTATATGTATATATCTAAATGTATATGTATATATCTATATGTATATGTATATATCTATATGTATATGTATATATCTATATGTATATGTATATATCTATATGTATATGTATATATCTATATGTATATGTATATATCTATATGTTATATATATATATATATATATATAAAGTTTATTGTATCTTTTGTTGGGGTAGTACTGTACTTGGTATCGTATGGGTAGGATGCTTCTACTGGGCCCGCCCTCTCATACAACATTTATGTATCTTTTCTATTTCAATAAAATCTGCCCTTGGGCTTTTAATAATAATAAAAAAAAGTTTACTATTGAAAGCCTGATGACAGAAAGCTTCATTTCAAAATAAACTATTATTTCAATAGGACATTACCGAGAAAAAGGATTCATAACGTTTACTATTATTGAAAGCCTGCCAAAATAAAGCTTCATTTCAAAATAAACTATTCTTTCAATGGGGCATAATGGAGAAAAAGGATTCATGTAGCCTACATCACTTAGTGGGATAAAGGCTTGTTGTTGTTTCTTCAATGTTTATTATTTTACTTAAGAAAATATGTTAGAAAAGCAGCAATTGACAACGATTTTGTGAAATATTTGATTTAACATATACCATGTACTCCTATAATTAATGCAATCTTTTTCTTAACTAAAATTTATCAAGAAGCTCAAATAAAATTAATTGATTTTGAAAACATATTCTATAAAGAAAGAGAATGTCTACAAACTTTAGAGCAATAAAGCCTTATAAGGAGATAACTAAATTCAGAATTATTGTCTCATATTTAAAGGTTAAGTCAAGACAATAAGGGAAGACGCAACTATCTAATCTAATCAATTTATTAATCTTCTTAATTATATACAAAACCAAATTAATAATTTCCTCTCTCCAAGTTATTAAGATGTTTGAACAAACCTTGAGTCTAATATTAAATAATCTATTTTGACATAAAAATAGGAAATGATTTTGCTCAACAATTTAATTTCAAAAATTACAATTTTAAACTGGTTATTTAATATTCTAATTTTAATAGAGGCTAAAACAAGCTAATTGTCAGATTCAAATAAAACATTCAAATTCGTCATTAGCATATTGTTACAGTCATAACAATTTATCAATCCTATCTTGGTAACGAATAAAAAATATTATTATTTTAAAAATTACTGAACAACACTTAATCTCTAGAATTATTAGAATAGTAGCAATTTTTTTATTCTCCATCAAGCTAGATTCATTGATTCCACAAATCAATGCTTAAACCCAAGAAAATGGTCAAGCAGCAGTCTAATTTTTTCACAAATCAATGCTTAAACCCAAAAAAATTAGAAGCCGCTTGACTAATGTGCAAAAGGTGGTCAAGCGGCTTCTACCCAGTGTCATTATCTAACCAACTTTTCATTTAATCAGAAATTCATAGTGACCCATAGGAGTTTGAAATGTAACATTGTGCACATCCATTGGCCGCAGCTAAAACGGTCGATAGCATGATTTCCAATCAATCTGAGATAATATTGCAGTCTCAAATAACTCATTCCGCGGCCTATCGATCACCAGAATCTCTGTCAACTTCGTCTCATGCGTCTCCTCCATCTCTGTCAACTTTGATCCGATTTGCTTTTGTTTGTTCAAGCATTTGAATGTCGTATTACTTCTTCAAAGTGTAGCGGCTTGAGTCTGCTATGGGTTTCCTCGCTCGATATCACAGCTTCCGATCCACCTAAAGCTTTGATGTTGCCCTCATGTCTTGTGAATACTTTAGGTTGTTGCTGTTGGAGTCCGTTGTGACAGGTGGAGGCGTTTTTGTGTGAAACTCCATTATCTTCTTTATCATTTCTTGCATTTCACTTATGCTCTCGATTTTGTCCTCCATTCGGCTCTCTATGGAAGAAACTATTTTCTATGGTCACGAACGTTTGTTCCATTTAAAATCTGATTTGGCTCGCATCTTTCTCTAATTTCTCTTCCAAAGCATCTATTTTCTTTACTGACATTGCTTCTTGTATGGTTTTGAAACTCACGATCCTGTGGTTGGCTTCGCAACTATCTCGAATCCTGACAAGAATGTCGTAATTCCATTGTCAGCTTCCCAAATCATGAGAGGTTACATCCCAAGTGCACGCCTAATCTGGTCATTGACTTCAGGAATCTTGGATAACAACTGTCTCGTGATTGGACAACGTCATCCCGCTAGTGTATCACGGAGGAGAAAGATGGAAGTTTGCGGTCTCTGTACGCCGCAATCCCCACATGGCCATCTTAGCTAACTCTAATCTCAATTTTGTTGCGAAGCCAGAGGGGAAAAAAGACCAGAGTTACGAATCCTCGATAGGTTGTAATCCCGTCGAAGTCATCCCTATTTAGCTCTAATCTCCACCGCAAGCGAAGACCAAGCAGGAGAAAGCAAAGGAGGGAGTTTTAGGCCTCTGTATGCCACGATTGTGTGGTTACTTCAAAGTTAGCTTGTTCGCGGCTGGATCTCAAGGACAAAGCAAAAGGAGAAAAGGTGTGGCTTGTCACTATAAGCCCTGACAATGTAGCAGTAATAACGACTGCTTCGAATGAGTACGGAGCAGAAGGAGGTGATTATCGGGTCTAGGTATGTGTCATTCTTCCCCCACGCAGCGATCCTTTCCGATAAAAGCATAACTTTCCAACTCTGCTTCGTTGCCTTCTCCCGTAAGCTGCGAGCTCGTCGTTGCCTCCTTCTATAAGCCGTGAACCCGTTGTCTCCTTCCCACGCTCCAAACTGTTGCTTCCCAGCTCGCATGATTCACGGCTGCAGATTCCGTCGATATCTTCCCAAAACATCGTGAACCCACGTGTTTCTTTGCAACTACCTCCAATCGTGAGTTTATTGTGAATTTCAGCCACGGCGGCGCGATGCAGTCGCGTGACGGATGCCTGATCACCATGATTTTAAAGATTTCGTATTTCAGCAAAACTGTAAAGGCTCTGATACCAATTTGATACGATTCGGCATAGAAATCAACGCATTTTTGTTGAAATTAGGGCAAAACACATTTCTCATTTCGATATTCCAAACAACTCACACAAATACAACAGCTAAGCACCTACAATTTGAGAGGTAAGAGATCTCTCCCAATTCCTACAATTTGAGAGGTAGAAAATCTCTCCCAAATCCTAGACCTAAGACTCACAACTCAATCTCATGCATACCCATTAACCCTAAACATAATAAGTCTATTTATACCCAAAAACAATAATAATAAAAGACTAAATTGCCCTTAGGCATACAAAAGACAAACATGCTCTTATACTAGGCATAGACGTAACAGACGCACGTGCGAGAGAGTCGTTCAGTTAATCCTCTTAAGTTTGGTTCCCGCTTTAAACAGTGGGTCCAATCCTAATAATATAGGACATATATACTTGTTTTTTGTGTCTTAGGTTTTCAGTTTTCATGAGTTTTGTTCGAGAAAGCAGCCGGCATCTCCATCTCACCCTTTGATGGATGTATCCAAGGTTCTCATGGTGCTCCGGTTGTATCTCGCTCCCGAAATGATGATTTATTCTTCCTCCATCGCTCCTCGCCATTCCCCGTAGTCCTTAATTACTGCAGCCACCCCTAGACCAGCAGCTATTGCTGCTTTTTCCTTGCAATTCCCCCATTACCAGCCGCCTCCCTCCTTCCCAGTTTTGTTGCCACCTCCTCCCTTCCACAACCTTCTTGCATCACTCCCAATCGCTGCTCCTCGCTGCCACCATCTGAAAAACAGCAACCCTGCTGCTTGCCCGCTGTCCAGCCATCCCCTACTCGCTGCCACCACCAGAAAACCGTTCCAACTGCTGTGATACTTCATCCCCAAGCCCTGGGACAGCCACCCACTGCTGTTCCTGCCTTCCCAGCCGCTCCTCCCTTCCCCCTTTGCTGCTACTGCACCGAACAGCCCTCCCGCAACAATTCCTGTTGCTTGCTTGCTGTCCGGAACATGGGAAACAGCCGTCTTGCAGTTCCTGCTTGCCAACCGCCCCTCATCCATCACCTTGCCAGCTTCCAAACCCTCGCCGACCACAATTGCCACCCCAGGATCCAACTCTAGTTGAGTTTGTGTGTCATGTCTGTTGTTATTTTCCATTTCCGTGTGTTGATTTTAACTACTGGCTTTTACAGCAATAATATTTTTTTTCTTAGTATTGTCTAGGTTAACTATGGTATCAAAGAGCTGCAACAACTATTAAGAATACAATAGATGAAAATAAATGAAAATATTTTGTGGCGTAAATCAAAAAATTAAAATGGAATTTATACATGATTTTAAAAAAAACTGAAAAAAAAATTAGAGGGGACGTGATAGCCTCAATGGAGAATATAATAGTTGAAAAAAATATTTACGATTTGGGCGCGGACAAAGGAGAATAGAAAATGCACTAAGAAATTGAGCAGAACAATTAATATGGAAATTTTAGAAAATTAAGGATGATTCCAAAGTTCATATTGAAAGTAATTGTGTGAAAAGACGACAAAATAGAATTGATAGTTCATGTAGCATATAATAAAAAAGAAAAGGAAAATGAAGTTTCCAAAATCCATCTCCATTTTGTTCAATAGACCTAATGATTATGAATTAGCATAACAGGTCTTATATATATATATATATATATATATATATATATATGCACAAGCATACATAAAAATATCCATGATGAAGCAAATCCAATACTTAATTTTTAAATTTCTCCATATTGAATATATACCACCAAAATGCAATTACGTTCAGGAATTTCTAGTTATGGTCATTCCACCTAGAATTTAAAAGAGAAATTAAAGAGCAAACCATATTAAGATCAAGACAAAAAAATAAAAAAAAAATAAATAATAAATTAAGGTCAAGACAACAGTTCCGCATTGAAATGACAGGTAATTGCATGGGTTAATCCAGTCAAAACAATTTCAGATACAGGTAACCCAAAGAAACAAACCTTAAGAGCAGAAAATATTAGTGGTGGTACGGTTAAAGAGAGGCGTTTAGGTCCTCCAAGAAGAATATGCTTCCGAACTGTTTGAATGATCTGCAAACGAAATCATTTACCGTGCAATTTAAATAATAAAGATTGCAAACTTGGTCAATCAGTGAAATGAGGCATTAAAATCTTTAACTCTTTAGATTAGAACATGGAAATTATTACGTAAATTACGAGCTCACAATAAATGAGACCAAAGTGCCACTCTAGGACTAATAGCTTTTCAGGACAATATGTCTATTTTGAAGCCAAAACACACAAGACAACGCAAGTGACTTACATTTGAAATCTTTGGAATACTATCTACATTACGCATTACAAACTAGCATTTAAAAGCAACAGAACTACAGAGCAAAGAAAAGATGCTCGGGATGTTATGGACATTTAATCCTTGAGTATGAAATTTATTTATTATGCAACACAAACTAGCATTATAGACAATTGAAGAAGAGCACAATAAGTAAAAAAATACAAATGAAATTACAGGTGATTAAACCTAACCTACCATTTTGAGTACCTTTGCAGATATAATTGTACAATAACTATTTATGCTGCTTATAGATTGTAAAATAAAATAGATGCAATAGTTTGGAATTTCATCAAGTTCCAAAAAAAACCTTATATGGGTAACTTTTCTAAAAACAATTAAAGGTATGCTTTTGATTTCTAAATGTGCTCTAACAAATGATGCTTCAACCAAAATGCAAAAACTGCCGTTTCATGCAAGTATATTCTAAAATCCAACATTCCAACATACAAGAAATGCCTCATAATTACTTCAGTTAACTTTTTTCATTCTAAAGATGTATTTTTAAAAGCATGACTCTAGTTTGCTTCATACAGGAAGGCAGCAAATTCAATTCATGAGAAGTGGGGTTCAGTGGCTGCAACAGATGTTCCTTAGCTGAAATTGTTTGTGCCACATAAACAGCAATCAGCAAGTAAAGGTTAGTTACTAGCTATGACTAACGTCAACTTTACACTCGGTTGGTATGGACAGAGCTCCCTATTACAGTATAGTTGTTCATACCCTGTAACTGGTTAGGATTTAGCGGAACACAAAAGCAAACTTTTATTAATATAGAAATGGAGCTACAACAAGACACAATGGAAAGGTAAAAACAACAAAAGACCAATCTCCGGCCAGGGCTGGAAGAGTAGATTCGAGAGCGGGGTGGCGTCGGCAACATAGTAGGGTTATGGGGGAGGGTTGGTGGCTGGCAGGTTGGTTAGGAAGGGGTTTGGGATCAGGTAGGCGGGCTGAAAAGCAACAGTAGCTGCAATTAAAGGATTATCGGGGGCTGGTAGGTAATCTGGAGGGCTGAGATAGCCCAGCTGAAGGAGTAATGAGGGTGGCCTGAAGTGGGGAGGGTCTGGAGGAGTGGACAGCAAGTAGAAATGCGGGGGAAGGGGTTCGGTAGGCTGGGAAGGAGTCTGGACAGCAGGATAGGCCACTGGAAAAGGCCGATTGAGTGCATGGAGGAAATTTGGGAAGTTGGCAGCAAGGTTGGTATGTTCAGGAAGGGCGGCTGGGTGTTGGGATGAAGTATGGAGAGGTCGGAAGTGGAAGAGAGGGGGGGGGAGAAGGGTTAGGTAAGAGTAAAAGGGAAAATACAACACTCCCTCGGAGTAGGATACAACCGGAGTACCATCACCTCCTCGGATATAGCCCTAGAAAAGGGAAAGAACTTCACATAAGAATCTAAAACAGAAATACAAAAACACATAACCCTAAACAAGAAGAAAACAACACATATACACTTACTAGTAGAAAAAATTGGACGGGAAAGGCCCTCCCCTTCGGCGGCAAGCAGGAAAGGAAAGGGGAAGTTTCGGCGGCCGTGGAGAATAACTAGGGCAGGATCAAGATAGGCTCCTCTCGCTTTTAATGTGATAGGCCAGTCCAGCCGGCCTTTGCCTCGGCCGGTTCAGTTGGTCCCTTGGGAAAAAATTTGCGTACATAAGACGTACGCAGAGCTGCGTACGTTTTATGTACGCAAATTTTCTTCGGTCCCTTGCTAGCACCCGCATCAGTTGTGCACACACCATACTGGACACCGATGGTAGTTTTCAAGCTCTTAAGGAATCCATCAGGAACGATAGCGAAATATACAAATCAAAAGACAGAGATGCCTTCGCTTTTGCTCCATTGCATTTCCTCAATGTGTTGACTCTTGGTACTTCACTGCAATTAACTTAGCTGATGTTTTTCCATTAAATTTACATATTTGAATAACTTTGTTTTCACAATAACCTCATATAGTATTTTTATCTAGTTCAGTAATTTAATTCCTTAATTATTTAAAATTCCACTTGCCTACTACTTATAGAAAAACTATATTCATCTATTATCATGGTAAATATACTTTTACCCGTGCAAAACATTCTAGCGTATAAACTATGGTGCGATGCACTTCGATTTGGAATGGTTTATTTTATTGTTGAATACTTTTCAAATGGTAAAAATTATGATGCTGCTCATTAAACGGCTGTGAGACCAAAGAATAACAGTTCCAATAAATTTCGAAAAGTATACCCTTTGATCATTCATTATTGAATTATTGGCACAAACTCTCACCATGATTGTAGGATGAAAATAAAGATTTGCATGATTAACACTGATACATGTTATCAGTATTCTTTCAGTTGCCTTTTACCGTAACATTACTTATTATAGGTTTTGCACAAAATTTCTAATTAAACTGCCGCATTACCTAATGAAACCAATTGGTTCTTACGATTACGGTCTTCTACAGGAGAAATATTTGCGTACGAAAAGCGTACGCAAAATTACGTACATTTTAAGCCTTTCGGAGGGTACAGTTAGGTTACACTTAGGTTACGGGAAGAATTACTAAGGGGGTAATTTTTCCTGTAACCTAACTGTACACTGCGAAAGGCTTAAAATGTACGCAACTCTGCGTACGCTTTCCGTACGCAAATATTTCTCCTTCTACAGGCATCATATACAATATCATAACGATCATTTTTTTTATAAAACATGAAACTAGATATCAAAGGAACTATGTCGATTTCAATGTGGCATCTCACACGGAAGAATTTATTAAAAAAAAACATATTATAATAATAAAACTTAATATTAATAATTAGTAATAATGAAATATTTATAAAATCAGACTTCTTTCAAGAGTTGCATCAAATAAAAATAATTTAATTAGATATTGTACCCTATTTATAGTATGGGACCTTTAATCATCCACTTAATTCAAGTTATCTTATCCTAATATTAAATATAACATATTAAAAATAAATAAATAAACAAACCTTAAAAAAACTAAATTATTTACATACATACCACACAATTCTTATGTATTTAAATATCTGACACCAAAACTTTCATATTTACATTTATAACAATTCAGCATGATAAATCTATGCATGAAAATGTGTATTTCACTTTTAAAAAGTAGTTATGATATTTTTTTTTATGTAATGTTAACGATTTGAATTTTATAGATGTAAATATGAAACATTAGGTCTTAGATATGTAAATACATACTATTTATTAAATTAAAATACTAAAATTAAATAAAATCATATTAAATTTATTTCATTGATCAATGCTAATCATATCTCATTTTTGCCTTGGTATGCTCATCATATAATTTAACATCTCCTACACTCCTATCCCAATATTATAATATATTTTCACTTTATATATAAAGGGCACCTCCTCTCCTCCCTTTTTAAACACAAAATTATGTCTACCTCTTCTTAACTTTCCACCTATTATAATTTGTTATAGCAAGTCAGCTACTTCACTGTTCGATTGGGGGTGAGGATCAGACAAAAGCTTAAGCATTTTTTATATTGAGGTAAACTATTACGCTATCTATAGTCTGTATCTGAAACCACTCCACTGAGGTAGAATATTAGTTCATTAAACTTTGCAAACTCCACAAAAATGCCATGCATATATTATGTTTAAATTTCATATGTAAAATCATGTAATATAATATCATCATATAACTACAAATACAAATTCTGAGTTTTATATAGCTACAATAACAATTATTATGTATATATATATAATTTTTCGAATGGAGGTGTCTGAGAGCTGTGGCGAAAATGGGCATTCTTGCTAGGGCTTCGCTTCGTGGCGTTGGATTGGGTGAGACCTCTCCTGTTTCGTTCTCTTTCTTTGTTTTTTCACATGCTTGGATCTCCCTAGATCCGGATCTGGAAGATTTGTTGGCTTTTACGATTTTTTCCGCTAGTTTTGGTTTTTGATTTCCAGATTGTGTTTTTCCTTTGTTTTTTCTTGCTCTTCTTTCCTGATTTGGGATTGCTTCTGGCTTTTTTCTTGTGTTTTCTATTTCTTGCTCTGTGTTTTTCTTTTGTTTTTTGGTTGGGATTGTCGGGTCTTGCTCCTCGTTGGTTTCGAAGGTGTTGTTTTAGTTTCTGTTTTTGACTTTGGTTTTCTGTATGTGTCTCGGTGAATTTTTTTTGCTTATTTTGTTTTGATGGATAAGACCTTTGCGGAGGATCTCTCTGGGGGCCAAGCCGCCAAGGTTAGCGATATGGGGTTTTTTCCTCAAAAGTTTCATGATGCTTTGATTATGGGTAGTGATTATAATTTTATTCGAAAAACAGGAAATAAAAATGGTAAATTCGCTATGTTTGTTTCTGATGAAGAATCCAATATTCTAGTGTCTTCAGCTATGCATGTTCTTGTTGGGAAGTTTTTATTTGGGCATCCTAAGCTCGAGTTGATTCGTAGGGATTTTGATGAGATGAAACTTACGGGGTTCTAGAAAATTGGTTTGCTAGATGGGCGTCATATTCTTATTCAGTTAGCTAACGATAAGGACTATACTTGTTTGTTTTTTAGTAGTGTCATTAAAATTGTTGGTGTCACCATGAAAATCTTGAAGTGAACAAAGGATTTTGATCCTAAGGAGGAACCCCCTACAATCCCGGTTTGGGTGCATTTCTCGGGATTAAAGTTTCACTTGTTCAATCACGAGATTTTATTCTCCATTGTTGTGGCGTACGGAAAACCTTTAAAGATGGATGGACCCACTTAT